CTGGGTCCAGCCCGATCCACAGCAGCAGCCTCCCCCTCCTGGCCTTCGTCCCCGCTCCCCCTCTCTCCCTCCGAGCGGATCCGCTGGCCAGCTTGTCCGCTTTCCCCCCCGAGCATCTGCTCTTGTACTCGTCGGTGCCGCGGCGCCACCGCCTATCCCCTGGTAGGGCCGTTTCCTGGGACAAACAGGCGCAGTGCCTAGTGTTCGATGCCCCTTTTCCCTCAACAGTGGTTCAGCATGTCTACTTCTTTGCCTCTCCTGTTTCCGCTGCAGCGTGGGCCTCGTTTTCAGGACTGGCGCTCTGCTCCCTTCGTTCGGAGTTCAGAATGGCGCTCTCGCCCCAGCACGGTCCACTTTCTGGATCCGAGTCCTGTCTCATCGTCGTCGCCCCCTTCTTCCCCCTCCTCCGCCTTACCCTGGGCCTTCTGTTCTTTCCGCTCCTTGCAATCCAACTCCTGCTTCTGCTGTTCGTCCTCGTCCTCCTCCTTCCCTCCTCCTTTTCCTCCTGCTCATCCTCCTGCTCATCCGCCACCTTCTCCTCCTGCTCCTCCTCCTCCTCCTTCTCCTCCTCTTCTTCCAATGTACGCAGGTTTCCTTTGCCGATTGCGCACACCACGGTGGAGTCCCTCTTGGAGTTCCAGGTCCGCTATGACACGCGTCCGCGGAGAGAAAGCATCGGCTCAACTGGAGGGGGCGGGTGGGAGGGGCAGGATCGCAGATCTGGCGCGAATGCACCCAGCTTGTCCCCCTCCTCCTCTCCCTTCCCCTCCCCCTCCCCTCCTCCCCCCCTCGGCCCCCTTCTCGTTTGGAGAGGGGAAGAAGCGCAAGGAACATCATCGCCTTCGTGCTCGACCCTTCGAAGAGAGGATCGCCGAGGGCAGCTCGGGGATCTGGGCCCCTCCCCAGTGGCCATCCTGGGTCTGGAGTTCAGTCGGGCCTGTCCCTCCACAGGAGGAGTATGCAAACATAGTCAGAAAATTGCCAGGGGACGATTTTTTGAGTAGTTTCGATTTTTTTTGTGGGGTAGTTTAACTGTTCGTCCCCAATCCGCCTGTAGGGGGACATGCCCTCAGGTCTAGAGGCCGAAATCGAGGAAAGCCGAAGATGGGAAGGTAGGCAAGGCACGACGTCGAATTCGCGCCGAAAGCCCCTCGAAGTGAGGAGAAGGAGGAGGAGGAGGAGGAGGGGAACTCACCTCCTTCATCCTCCTGGCATGCGTTACGACCAGTACCCGAGGGGCGGCAAGGTCTGGGAGGCCCACCACGGTGCAGGAGCGTCAGACACATTCGAACCTTCGAATCCTACACCCCCGGATTCTCGTGCCCTTGAGGTGAGGATCGCCGCTGGCACCGCGGGCATCCCGGCCGCGTTCCTGGTCACGGCTTTCGAGCAGCTGGTGGCCTTTGCCCTGCTGCTCGTGTGGGCGGCCGTCTCGCGGCTCACGCAGCGCAGGAATTTCGTCGACCCTCGCTCGACCGTCGTCGTCGATCGCCGCCCTCCTCCTCGTCCAGGAGGGAGGAGGAGGAGGGAGGGAGGAGGGAGAGGGAGGAGGAGGAGGAGGAGGAGGGAGCAGGAGGGAGAAGGTGGGAGGAGGAGATGCAGCCCGAGAGCCAGGCGCCGAAAGGGGGGGAAAAGACGTCGGGACGGAATGCGCAAGTCCTTGGATGAAAGCCTGGGCCCCCCTCCCTCAGGCGGTCGCAGACATGCATCGAGGGGGGCGTGGAGTAGCGACGGGTCCCGTTTCCATGGGCGATCGCGGACTGCCGCCGCCGAGCGAGGCGCCGCTGGCCGCGCTTTGGGGGGGGGGGGTACCTCCCCCGATCCATGGATTTGGCGACGGCGCGCCAAATCCGTGGATCGCTGATCCATGTTTGCGCGCCCCCGACTCCCTGCCCCCGCCCGACCCTCTCCTCCTCGGTATGTCCCCGTGCCGCTGCACACCTGGCGCGACGGGGCGCTGGTGGGGCTCTTCGCGCTGACGCTGACTGCGAACATCGCCCTCAACAATTTCAGCATCTCCCTGATGCCCGTCTCGGTGACGCGCGACGCCCCAGAAGTCTTCCTTTAAGTCGGGCCTGTCCCCCTACAGGGGGAATCTTTAGAACAAAATGGTCAGGGAACGTTGTTTTATAGTATTTTTGCCTATTATTGTTTTTCAATTTAAAATTTTCGTCCAAAATCCGCCTGCAGGGGGACACGCCCGACCTAAGCCATCCTACCAAATTCCTTCAGCCGGAAACTTGATGATATCGATCGCCAGTGGCGGGCTGCTCTTCAACCCCAGGACTTCTTGAGGGTCGGGGGCGACCATAGGGGGCTGGTGGTGTGTATACTCCAGGGCCTGGGGGCGGCCAAGATTAGGTCGGGCACGTCCTCCTCCTCCTCCTCCTCCTCCTCCTCCTCCTCCTCCTCCATCTCCTCCTCCATCTCCTCCTCCTCCATCTCCTCCTCCTCCATCTCCTCCTCCCCGCTCGCCCGGGGAAGCGACGAAACATGTATACGCCAGGATCCCGTACACACCAGGATCCGCTCTCCTGTGCGAGTTTCGGTGCGGGGCCGGTGTAGAAGGCGTCGGTGCAGCTTTGAGTCAGGCCTGTCCCTCTGCAGGAGGAAAACTCGAAAACAGTAAAAAAATAGTCGGGGGACGTTTTTCGGACTAATTGTCTCCACTGTGGAGTATTTTTGGACTACTTTAATATTTCGTCCAAAATCTCCCTGGAGGGGGGCAGGCCCGACCTAATCCCAGACTTCCTTCTTTTGATGGTTCAATGTTCACCGCGGTATTGATCAGGCGTGGCATTCGGGCATCCCAAGGGGGAGCAGACAGGGGGTTGGGGGGGACATTCCAGAAATCCTGTGCAGAGCGCGAGGATGCCTCGTGCGGTTTGCCTGCTTCTGCCCCCCCCCCCCCCGGACTTGCCTCTTCTGGTGGCCCACTGCTCGCCGCGTCGTAGGCCGCGCCCGACCTGAAGTGCAGCTGCAGAGCCCGGCTCCTCCTTCGGGCCGCCCCCCCGAGACGAGAAGGCCCCCCTCTCCGCTCTCCTCGGGCGGCCGCCCCCCCCCCCCCTCTCGCCCCTCCCCTTCTTGGCTGCGCGCCGCCGACCCAGAAGCTCCGCCGCCGTGAGCTGAAGTCGGGCCTGTCCCTCTACAGGAAGAAGGCTCAGGAATGATAAAAGATAAGTCTGGGGACGGTCTTTGGAGCATTCTTGGCTATTCTGGAGTATTTTCGACTACTGTAGTTTTTTCGTCGCAAGTCCGCCTGTAGGGGGACATGCCCGACCTAATCGTGAGCTCCTTCCACACCGTGGACCCGAGGAGGTCGACGCACAGTCGAGACTGACCAGGAGGTCGACCCTGCCAAATCGAGGGTACCCTTGATGTCCCATGTTTCGCGACCCACGCCTTCTGTATTCCTGTGGCAATCTGGCCCTCGGGCGGGTCTCGTGTCCTCTCGCGTGTCCTCTCCAATCGGCCCCGACTGTGCCGATACCGCTGCCCTTGCCTCGCTTTTCCCCTCTTTGGGCCTCCTGGGAGGCCCTCGTCGCCACTGCCGGATTCGCCTCGAAATCCTGGTTAGAGCTCACCCCAGGAGAGGTCCAGGGAGTATTGGTATCAGAATCTTTTGGTTTCCCCAGTGGACCCCCAGATCTCTGAGCCCTTTCCCAGGGGACGCGGCTTCTCAACCCGAACCGCTCTTTGACTCTTTGACCCTCCTGGGGCCGGGCAAGAGCCCCCCGAGGCCGAAAACGTGCCCAGCTCGCGCGCGCGAGTCAGGAGGCTCGAATAGGAGATACCTCCTAAGGGGGAAACACACACACATACACAAGTAATCGTCGACTCCTAGGAAAATATGAGAAAATATGGGAAGTGTGTGGGGGGGGGAAGCCGAAAACCCAGAAGACGTGGGAAAACATGGGGAATCCTGGGACTCGTGTGTGTGTGTGTGTTTATGTATGTGCCCCTGGGCCCCTTCAAAACCGGCACAAACATCGAGGCCCGCGCGGATGTCTTGGATCGGCGCCAGACCCCCCCCCCCAGCGCCGCCTCCGGCGCTGGCCTCGGCGCGCGCTGCCCGCGCCCGGGAGGGGGGCCCGGCGCCGCTCCCGAGAGACCCGCGCGGACCTCCGAACGCCGGCGGCCCCCCAGAGGTGGGTTTCTAACTCCTCGGGCGAGTCGGAGGAGGACAAGGTACAGTCAAAGACCCTGATGAGGACGCGCGGTCAGGACGCAAGACCCTTGGAAGCCGAAGTTGGGATTTTTGGGGCGGCGGACGACGAAAACCTCAAGGACGCAAGAGCAAGGAAGAGCAAGGACGCAAGGGTACCCTGAGCAAAGTCGCGCGTCCTTGTTAGGATTTTTGACTGTACCCATACCCGTACCCTTCCCTCGTCGCCTTCTTGGGCCTCCTGGGAGGCCCTCGTCGCCACCGCTGGCTTCACCGCGAAATCTTGGGCAGAACGCACACCGGGAGAGGTCTGGGGGGCAGCGGTATCGGTACCTTTTGGTTTCCCCAGAGTCTGCTTCTCTTCCTCCTCATCCCCGAATTGCCGCGCATGTGAAGTGCGGCATGCACCCCCCGCAGCTGCGAGCTTTTGGGCCGCGCCCCCGAGGGCAAAGCCGAGCCGAACCTCCGTGCTCGCTGATCTGATTGCTTGGAAGGTTCTACCGCCCCATGTGTCCGATGCAGAGACATACTGTTTGCGTGCTTGTGCCGATCCTCTTGTCCTGAGAAGCCCCCCGCCGTGACCTTTTAACGACACGGAGTGGGTCCTGGGGTAGGTCGGGCATGTCCTCCTACAGGGGGATTTCGGAAGAAGGATGAAACATAGTCAAACAACAGTAATCAACACACAGTCAAAAGAGCGCGAAACATCGCCACCGGACTATTTTTCTAAACACTCTTGGATACTCCTCCTGTAGAGGGACATGCCCCACTTAAGCCTGGGGAGGCGAACCTGCTCATCCGCTCCTGCTTCCCGCTGCCGACGCTGGGCTTGCAGCACCTGCTGGCGAGGCTTGCCCCGGCGCCGGGCCAGCTCCGTACCAGTGCGTGCCGCACCGGGGAGCTGCTGATGGTGCTGGCGGGCTGCCTCTTCGCGATGCTCGGGGTGCTAGCGAAGCACGGCGCTGTCCAGGGTGCGCGGGCGAGCGAGGAGCCAAGCAGAGGCATCGGCACAAACATGACCTTTTCCGAGGGGTCGCGTTTTTTAGTGTTTCTTGGATCGGCGTTGGGGGGGCGCCGCCGTTTCTTTGCCTGTTGTCTGCTGCTCTCGCTCTGGAGGAGGCGGACGAGTTCATTCTGGGGACGGTCGCCTGCGTCACCTCCTGCCTATCCGGCGCGCTGAACCTGGTGCTCGTGGGCGCCATGCAGAACAGGCTTGCTCAGGAGGGAAAAACCACACAGACACAGTTCATCGTCGATCTCCTAGACACTATGTGGGAAAATATTATGGGCAGTGGGGGGGAGACAAAAACCCCGAACCTCTGGGACAACACGGGGAATCCTGTTGGTTGTGTCTACTTGCTTGTGTGCCCCAGGGCCCTTCCTCCTCCTCCTCCTCCTCCTCCTCCTCCTCCTCTTCCTCCTCCTCCCCCTCCTCCTCCTCCTCCTCCTCCTCCTCTCTCCTCCTCCTCCTCCTCCTCCTCCTCCTCCTCTCCTCCTCCTCCTCCTCCTCCTCCTCTACTCCTCCTCCTCCTCCTCCTCCTCCTCCTCCTCCTCCTCCTCCTCCTCAGAGGCTGGGCATCGGCCAGCTGGACATCGTCCTCTACACAGCGCTGCCCGCCGCGGCGCTGCTGGCCCTGCCCGCGTCGCTGCCGCACCTGACCTGCTGGCGGGGGGGCACCGCCCTGACCGACTGGCAGGTCCTGCGGGAGGTGGCCCGGCGGCGGCCGGCGGCGCTGTGGCTGCCTGTGGGCTCTGGCCGTCGGAGAAAAGAAGCGACTCCTCCTCCTCCTCCTGCTCCTCCTCCTGCTGCTCCTCCTCCTCCTCCTCCTCCTCCTCCTCCTCCTCCTCCGCGTGGCCACTGATCCGAGGCAGGGACGTATACCCATTGACCGCCTGCCTTTGTGCGCCCCTGGTCGGTATCGTTTCACCGATCCCCATCCCCATCCCCATCCCCTTCGAGACCCCCACCAAATTACCGCCCCAGTTGGGGATGCACCCCTCGAAGCCCGAAGGGAACGACCCATATCCCCCATCGAGGGGGGCAAATCGGCCAGCGGGGCCCAGGCCAGAACGCTGGAAATGGGGATCGGATAAACGATACTCAGACACGACATTTCAGCATGAGCTTTGGGAGGTCCGCGCGACTTTCCTGGGTCGGCGCTGGGCCCCCCCCCTCCTATGGTGCCGCCGGAGCGCGCCAGGGCGGCGCAAGAGGCGCCCGAGGGGCGTGGCGCCGACCCACAGACTCTGCGCGGAGCTCCTGCAGCTCGATCAAAATTACACTCCAGGCGATGCTTAAGAAAACCTAAGTTTTCGTCCAGAGTCTCGATCATTCTTAACTTTTCAATGTAAATCCCAAGATTTTGATAGAAGTTCTGGGTTTTATTCAATTTCTGAGACTATGAATTTCTGAACCCATGATTTCTTAAGCATTTCGCATGGTGTATGCCTCTGTGCCGTGCCTCTTCTCCCTGCCCCAGGCCCGCTGGCTCTGCTGTTCAACCTGCTGAAGTTCAGCGTCGTGCAGCGTCTGTCGCCCACGCACGCCGCCCTCGCCGGGAACTGCAACAAGTCCGCGGCCGTGCTGCTGGCCGTCGTGCTCGGCCTCGAGCAGGTCCCGGCCGGCGGCTGGGGCGCCGCTATGCTGTGCGGCTGCGCTGGTAGCGTCGCCGCCTTCGCCGGGTTCACCCTCGTGAGGGCCGCCGCCCCTGCGGAGGCGGCGCCCGACCTGAAGGCGGAGCTGGGACCGGCAAAGGAGCTCAGAGGAGGAAGCTGTACCGATACCGCCACCCTTGCCTCGTTTCCGTCCTTGCTGGGCCTCCTGGGAGGCCCTCGTCGCCACCGCTGGATTCGCCTCGAAATCCTGGGCAGAACGCAGTCTGGAGAGGTCCAGGGAGTATTGGTACTGGTATCTTGTGGGTTCCCCAGGACCCAGGCGGCTCTCGTATGTCGAGTCCCCCGAGCTTGGCGAGCGTGTCGACGATGGATCCGCTCGGTGGCGCGGGGGGGCACCTGCTGTGCCTTTCCTCATGGTGCCAACATCGCAGAGCGGATCTCGTTCGGAAAACGATAGGGTGGGCCCGGGGTGTCCTGGAGAATTTCGTGCCGGACTTCGAGGTTAATTTCGTGCGTATTTTTTTTGTTGGGGGGGGGGGCCAGGAGTGAAGACCAAGAAGACTCCATGCGAACTTCGCTTCGCTTTTCGCTCGCCGCTTCGGGCAGAAATCCACGCAGAAAGCCACGCAGAAATCCGCTTCAGCACGTCTGCAAGGCAGGTGAAATGACCTTTTCTGCAGGAGGGGGGCGCAGGGATGAGGGGAGGTCGGGGATCCGTGGGACGTGGGATGTCCCAATGCGCAGTATCTTTCAACCGATCCCCCTCCCCCTCCCCATCTCCATCCAGACCCCCAACATCTCAGCACCCCAGTTGGGGATACACCCTTCGAAACCCGAAGGGAACGGCCCGTACCCCCACCTCGGGGAGTAAGTGGGCCAGTGGGGCCCAGGCCACGCCGCCGAGGATGGGGATCGGATAAACGATGCTCAAATGCAGATCCACGCTGTCAGCCTCGTCGGCCAACGCCAGGCCTCTTGGTGGATCTCGGCGCGCCGCGGCCCACTCACCTCGGGGCCCGTGGAGTCAAGCGCAGCGTGAACGCACGCCTTCCGGATCATCGAGGAGGGGGCGAGCAGAGGGAGGCCTTCTGAGAGGGCCTCACAGACTATTTTTCCAGAGGATGCGTGGAGCACTTCGCTCACAGGGGAGCGATTACTTCTGAGAAGCCCTGTGCCTTCTCAAGAGGCCACCTCTCTTCTCCGCCCCCTGCACGCTGCCAATAATTGAAGGGGCAGGTTCGGAACGCCTCGGTGCATAGCGCCCACATCTCATGTGCACCGAGCCCCCGAGCTAACCATGCGATGTGAAGTAAATCGAGCCAATCCCATAGAACGGGACGGGGGCTGGAGGAATAGGGGGCGGGTGGCCCTTCCTGTCATCCCTAGTCATTGCTCAGACTCCTCTTCGATCTGCAGGGCTGGGGGTCCTGGAAGGCCCATGTCCGCAAATGGCAGTGACAGGACTTGTCGGGAACCGAGGTGAATCAGGAACAGGAGGAGCAGAATGAGTGGCAGGAGCAGAAGGGGAAGGCGGATGAGAGGAGGGGAACGGAAGAAAAATAACAGTATAATCGTATCAATCATAGGAGTAATACATATAATAAACATAAGACGAAGGAATCCGAAATACAGAAGGGCGACCCGCGCTTGGGCGAGAGCGCCATTCCGAGCGATGGAATCAAGGCACTGGTCCTGACAGGCGGCCACCGAAGACGTTCCGATTCGAAAAACTACAAAAGGAAGGACTGACAGCTTTGTGACGTCCTGCGTGTGGAGAGCCCGTATGCGGGAGGCGGTGCACACTGGCACGCTGTCAGGGGAAAGTGGAGGGCATTGCTTGTTTGTGCCCTGGGGAAGCGAGCACGGCAGGTCGGCCAGGAATTGATAAGCACGGACCAGCGCAGCATGTCATCGGCCCTGGAGCTAATCATCGGTCAAGAGCTGCTGCGGAGGGTGTGCAGGAGGAGGGCAAAAGTCAGAGGACGAGTGCACGAGGGGACGGGCGGCGGACGAGGGGTGGCCGCGGGGAGCGGAGTGGGGGAGCGGGCTGGGCGAGGGCGGGGGGGGGGAGAGGGACAGGGGAGGGGGAGGGCAGCGAGAGGAGGAGGGGGGGGGGCGGGAGTGTTGGGGGAGAGGCCAGCTATGTGCGCTCGCGCCACGTCTGACATCCCCGCCCGGCCCCCCGCCATCCCTTCTCATGGCGCCGACTTCCTGTCTGTCCGCTGGCTTGGAGGTGCCCTCGAGGCCCCTGGTCCCCTTCATGACCCCATCTTTGATGCGCAATCAGGAGGGGGGGCTTGGTACACTGGAGGAGGAGAAGGAGGTGGCGGATGAGCATGAGGAGGAGCAGGAGCAAGAGGATGATAATGAGGAAGGAGGAGGAAGAGCAGCAACAGGAGCAGGAAGAGCAGGGGGAACGTACATGAGGGGGACGCATGGGAACGGCAACCATGAGGAAGGGATCGTATCCAGAAATGCGGCTTCCGCTGGGGCGAGATCGCCATTCTGAACGACTGGAGCAGAACGCCAATCCTGAAATGGGGCCAGCTCTGCAGCGGGAGTATTGAAGGACGACACGCATTCCGAAGCTCCCAGTGGACTCAGAACTCAGGCCAACGCTGCAGCGTGAACACCGTTTTGAATGACTGAAGCTCCAAACATCCAATGCGATTCTGAAGTGTACTAGGGTCAACGATGCAACGATGACACCGATTTGAATAACAGAAGCATCTGGATGGGGAAAACACGAATGCAATTCCACACTGAAGACCCCCGTGTGTGTGCATAGCAATGCGTAGGAGAGGCCGCGCCACGCAAGGTCGGTGTCAGGGGGGAGAGGTATTCAGAATGTGGAATTGGAGGGTGGAGTAAGAGGTGGGTAGCAAGCGGGCGGAGCAGGGGTGGGGGCGGGGTCGGGGAAGGCAGATGGTGAGGAACAGCAACAGAGACGTGAACTTCTCGGGGCGGCGTCCTCGGTGGGAAGGAGAAAACGAAAGGGAGACGAAGGAGGAGGAGGAGGAGGAGGAGGAGGAGGAGGATGAGGAGGAGGAGGAGGAACATTGCAGATGAGGGCGGATGAGGAGGAGGAGGAGGAGGACGAGGCGGAGGAGGAGGAGGAGGAAGAAGAGGAGGAGGAGGAGGAGGTTGAGGAGGAGGAAGATGACCCGGATTCACCACATGTGCATCAGCTGTGCTGCAACACATCCCTTCCGCCCCAAGTCCCCTCCCCATAAGTCCCTGCAGGCCTCCCGTTCCACTACAAGAGGCGCCCTCCTGAAAGACCGGTACTTCTCGGGCCTTCACTCTGCCCTTAATCGGTGGCGGGCAAGAGGGGGGTGATGACTAGGGGGGGTGGATATCATGGCGGGGGCCATGATATCTCCCCAGATTTCAGGGCGCCTCTTCTTATTTCATTACGTTCCCGGCCCCCCCGCTGGGCCGCGCACATGCCGCCGGCCATGATTTGCACCCCCCCTCTTGGACACCCCCCTCTTGGCCGCTCCCGACTTAACGAGCACAAATCCCTCTAGCACGTGGCCAGGAGTTCGAGGATGTGTCCAGCTGCCAGCGGCAGGCCCCGCCACCGCGCCGGCGCAGCAGCGCCAGCGTGAAGGAGGTTGAGCTGGACACGCCTCTTGGAGCTTCGCCGGTGTCTCTCTTGAGGGCCCGCCCCTCGGGAGCCTTTTGGGGCCGTCTGTCACCACCCACCAGACAATCCCAACCCAACCCGAAGGCTCAGAGTTACCCTCGATTTTGTGCTGCGCCTCGGGAAACATCGAGAAAACACATGTGGAACCCTTACCCCCCCAACCCGAAATTCGGGTCTTCGGGTTGGGTTGGGGTGGTCTGGTAGGTAGTCAGTCTGGAAGGCTTTGGGTGGTATGTGACGGGACCTGAGAGGCCTCTTGGGGGTCTCTTGGGCCTCTCGGTGGCCTCTGGGGGTCTTTTAGGGGGCCTTTTGGGGGAATGACTGGGGCCTTGGTGGCAACCCTCAGGGCGCCCACGGCCTCTCGGGCCGTGTTGGGGGCATCTTGGGCTGTCTTGGGAAACCCTAGCGCCGTCTCGTAGGCCCCTTGGGCCGTCTTGGAGCCTCCCTGGGCCGTCTTGGGGCATTTTTTGGGTCCCTATTGGGTTGCCTTGGGGCCGTCTTGGGGACCTTTGGGGCCGTTTTGTGCTTGCTAGAAAGGACTGTATATTATACCGTGTGTGGAAAGCCAGAGGCAACACAACGTTTGTTGCTCTCGAGGCCTCTTGTGCGCCCTCTTGGAGCCCTCTTGGGCCGTCCTGGGGGCAGTTTGGGCCGTCTTGGGCCATCTTGAGGCCCCCTTGGGGCGTCTGGAGGCTTTCTTGGGCAGTCCTGCGACGGCCTTGACGGGCATTTGGCCGTTTTTGTTTTTGTTTTTTTGTTTTGTTTTGTTGTTGTTGTTGTTGTTGTTGTTGTTGTTGTTGTTGTTTTTTTTTTTTTTTTTTTTTTTTTTGTTTTTTTGTTGCTGTTGTTGTTGTTGTTGTTGTTGTTGTTGTTGGAATAAACGGGGGTTGGGCCCCGGGCGCCCCACCCCCCAGCAGCCAGCAACCAGCCACAATCCCTTAGGGAGGCCCACCGAAGCTTCATTTCGGTGGACCTCCCCACGGGATTGTTGCTTTGGCCCACAGGGCGCTCCACCGGACCTTCATTTCGGCACACCACTCTCGAGGATCGCGGCCCCTCGTGAATCCTGACATTCCGCACATGGTACTTCCTGCCAGGAAGGCCCCAGCTGACAGCCTGTACACGGTACGTGCGGTCAGTGCACGGGAGGCCGCAGCCGGTCTTCCGTCCATAGGACCTCCTGTCAGTTTGATGGCCGCACGGCCCGTCACAGCCGGCTGACGCACAGCACTCACATCGAGTGGTCTGTGCATGGCACGTGCCATTCGTGTGGCCGCGCTGGCGGGTGCTGCCTCCAGAAAGGGGCTGATCGAGCC